TGTGTGTGTGTGTGTGTGTGTGTGTGTGTGTGTGTGTGTGTGTGTGTGTTCAGCTTACTTTGGGTTGTAGGATTATCCTAAGATGACATGTCTAAAAGCGTCATGCAGACTTTGTGCTCGGTGCCCCCTCTGTGCCATCTTAGTCATGATCTCACTGTTTAAAAACGTCTCATAGAGACCAGGCTGGCCTCAAACTTGCTAAGTAGCTCAGGCCTTGAATGCCTAAACTTCTACCTTTACCTCCTAAGTGTTATGATCAAGAGGTGTGTGCCACCATGCCTGGCCATCACCTCGGTTTTAGGCAGGGTTCTTCCCTCTTTTGTCTCTTTCTCTCCCCTCTTCAAATGATTGTCTGTCTGCCTGCGAGTCCTCCAATGATAGGAGATAAGAATAGATGGGAAGGTGAGGGCAGAGCTAATGTTCTTCAACCCAGGACTGGTCCTGGCGCCTCGGCAGGAACAGGTGTATATTTCCCACATATCTTCTTGTAGAGCTGTTACAGGTCTGAATAAGTAACAACGGAGAGAGAGATGGCTTGCGTCCCTGCTCTAACTCTGTATCTTCCCTCATGCAGGACAAGCAGCACCAAAGGCTTGAAGGATGGGTAAAGACTTCCGCTACTATTTCCAGCATCCTTGGTCTCGCATGATCGTGGCTTACCTGGTCATCTTCTTCAACTTCTTGATATTCGCCGAGGACCCAGTTTCTCACAGCCAGACAGAAGCCAATGTTATTGTTGTTGGAAACTGTTTTTCATTTGTCACCAATAAATACCCTAGAGGAGTTGGCTGGAGGATTTTGAAGGTGCTTCTATGGCTACTGGCCATTCTCATAGGACTAATCGCTGGCAAGTTTCTGTTCCATCAGCGCCTGTTTGGTAAGTACCGTAAGTACCGTGTGTCGCCATACTGCTGGCTCTTGACTCGCTGGTCTCTGTTCCAGGGAAGAAACTGACTTTGACCCAGTGGGGTGTGGTTCCCACTGCTGGTCTGATTGGTGAGGGTCAAGAGTAGGGATATTTATCCAGCAGATACTCACTTATCACACACCACACACTAGGCTAGAGCATGTAATAGGCAAAGTCTCTGCTCACGTAAATGCTTTCCTTCTGTAGGAGGGAGGTAAAGAGATAAATGTGCAATACTTGATGAGTTGGTATGCTATGGGGGGGGGGATGAAATCCGATGTGAGAGCTGCGGCTTGTTCATCACTAAGAGACTTTAGTAAAAGCATATTGTACTCAGCATGATAGCAATGGAAGAGTATTGTACTTGGCAATGATAACAACGGAGGTGGGGGATTTGGGGGTGATTTAGACGGAACACCTTGATAGAACAAATCAATATGACTACATTTCTGAAGGTGTCTTTAGTCTTGGGCTTAGGATATGGGACAAAATCACAGCTTCACAGAGGACAGGAGCAGAGACCCTGTTCCTTAGATGCAGGCCCGAGGGAAGACGAGGTTGAAGTTGGTGCATCTGAGGTGGTGGAGTAAGGAGGAAAGCACCTCGCCATTGACAACCCTTGCTTTACCATGAAGAACAAAAGTAAAGGCGGTCGGATGATAAGGGATTTTAAGGCACATGGTCCAGACTTGGAACACTGGGCAGAGAGAGGTCAGTGGGCTAGGGATGGGTGGATGGACAGGCTGCTGATTATCACAGAGAGTCGCCAGGGATAACCACTTACAAATGTGAATGGTGCCAATCTGAATTGTCCAGCATGGTCCTCAGAACATGGACTTGGAAATCTGGTGGAGATTGCTCAGACTTGTATACTCCAAATGAATACTGGTAAGGGGGATCTGGCTGGACAGGAAGGTAGCTAACAGTCTTCAAGGAGCCTGAAAGAGCTTGAAGATTTGGGCAAAAAAACCAAGCATTCCAGAGTTCAGGCGAAATGAAAGTAATAGAAGGAAGAAGATTTGCGGGTGTGGTCGAACGACAGTCATTCTTTAGTGGAGATTTCTAGGGTGTGGTCTTTAGGGTTACAGACGTTGGTTGGGAGGGATAGGTCATTGGCACAGAGGATACACCGGAGCATAGTGTTAGTTGGCTTTCCCATCAAATATGGAACAAGCATGGCGCTATGTGTAGAAGCAGCTACGAGTGGGTGGTGGACGTGAAAGTCTCCGTTTCCGAAATGGGCAGGGAGTTCTGGAGAGAGAAGCCAGTAGGTTTCCTTACAAGTAATAGCTACAGGTGTTTGCAAGCTATTTGGGGAACTTTCAAAAGCGTGGTAGTTACGGCAAATGGGCCAGACTATTAAGGCTGGAGGAAAGCGTCTGAATCTATGAAAGGGCAGCTGAGAACCGTCTGGTTAAAATAATGGCTTAGTAATGAGGGGAGGTGATCTGACTTTGAAATTGCTACATTTTCCCAAGTTCTTCTCTTATAAATTCCGTCTCTTATACTAGAACCAGATTTCACTCGTGGCTTGCCTGTCAATTCTCCTGTTAATATAAGTAGTTGGACGGTGGAAAAAGCACTCAAATTTCAAGTAGTTTACTGAGTATGAACTATTTTAAAATAACGCAGAGGTGCACTTCAGCTTTTCTGCTTACAATGGAAAAGATTTTCAAGTCAGTATTAGTACTTCAGTTTGACAGCTACTTCTTCCCTCTGCTCACAGTCTCTGAAATGATACATCTTAGAGAAGGAATAACTAGTCTGCCAGTTTCACGAGTGAGGTGAACGAACTCCAGGTTGAGCTTCCTGATGAACTCAAAACCTGTGTTCTCTGTCTCTTTTCATCTCTCTTCCTCCTTGGCTCACAAACTCGAAATCTTTCCTCCGAGCCATTCTCTCCTCCTCTGGGTCACTGTGGACTATGGAGTGACTTTACTGTATTGCTAAGTGATACCTACCATCTGCAGGATGGAATCCAAATCCTTTGGATTGATGGCCGAGCTCTTGATGACTACCGCAGTCTGACTTTTGCCTTTCCATGGTGCACAGTGTGGTACTCTCAAACCCGCTGCCTCCTTTGAAGAAGGACGCTTAAACGAAATCCCACCCTAGCTCAGAATTGAGAATAATAGACGGTTATTTATTTAGGGGGAGACTCACAAATCAGAATCCTCTGCTGTAACGGAGAACAGAAACCGAATCCCGCAGCCGGAAAAGAGAGGGGATGCATGCTTTTAATCGGCATAAATAGTATAAGAAGCCACGCCCCAGTGGGCGGTTAACTTAAAGTCTATTGGCTGTATGATTTCCTACAGGACTCCTTCACCGTCCATTTTCATAGCCCTCCTGTATCACTTGGGTCCCCTCTGACACTTCAGACTACTTCTTTTCCCTTCGAGTCCCAGGTGATATCCCAGTTCAGATGTCAGCGTCTTCAGGTTGCCTTCTAAGGCCATCCGGCATTGTTACGGTTGTCTGTTCTCCACAAGAGACTACTTGCTGCAAAGCAGTGTGGCGGGATGCCCTCAACTGATAGCCTGCAGCGTTGTGGGAGAGTATCCAAGATTTGATGCAAACACAAATGTTCTTATTGGCTTGACAAGTGATAAATGTTTCCGTCTTGGTTCCCAGATAGCTAGCCTTTATACATAATTCATTTTTAAAAAGCTATATTTAAGCGTTTAATGATGTGAGGCCACGGGCCCACGACAGTGATGTTGATGATGTATGTGAGGGGACTAAAGCTACATGACAAGCACAGGGCTTTGTGCTACAGAAATACCAGGGTGGCTTATGAAATGATCAGAATAATTTCGGGCCATCAGGGCAGCAATCTCACCTTTTGTGATTCTCTAATAAAATGCCCAATGATAGATATTTAATAAAATTCCATGTTCCCTCCAGTTCATCATAAGTCTCTCAGATGCTTTATTATCTCCACTTAGGAAACTTCAAAAGAACAACAGGATGCTATTAATTTGTATACAAATGAGGGACTGGAGTGATCCAAGGAGCACCTTTGTAACATGTTCAGTGGTTACTCAATTATGTGTGAGATGCAATGTTGCAATTGGGTTCAGTGGTTACCCATTTATGTGTGAGATGCAAAGTAGAAATTGCAGTTTTGCAGCTATGGAGATACAATATTACAATTGCAGTTTGACTGGTATGTAGAAGCAGCATGCTTTTTGTGTTTTGGGGTCTTGCTTGTGACCCAGGGTGGCCTTGAACTATCAGCTCCCCAAGAGCTGGGATTGCAGGCCTGATACACCATACTAGCAGAGGAAGGTGACTGAGGAATACATTCAAAAGAATTTTGTCAGTTTCAAGATCAACTCTTGCTGGTTGTCATATAAAGACATATCAGAAGGGAGCTCGGCTGAATTATAAGTTTGCACTCTCTAGTGTTTCTCTTTTCTGTTTGCTTGGACGAGTCTTGCATATATAATATGTATTCAAATAATATGTTCTGGTATGATTTGCTATCCATGGATAGAGAAATTCTGCTTGTAATATTTATATAAAAAGAGAACTTAAGTTCATTAAATAATTAATTTTTATTCTAAATATAAATTGAAGTGATTCCCAACAACATGTGCACTAGTATATGCATCGGGAAGTTGGGGTTAAGGAAAGGGAGGAAGATCTAATGTGCTTGACACACAGCATTCAATCAATTTAAAGGATTGGATAAAGATTTCTTCATCTTTCCTATATTGATTGTGCTGATGTTGCCTTTTCATTGGAAACTATAGAAAGGTATTTGTTTGTTCATCCATAAAATATGAGATAGGGAATTTAAAATCTGGTTAAAGAGACAAGGTACATAGACATGAAAAATTAAATACTCTGATAATAAAAGGGAATGCATATCAAGTATCAAATGAATAGTCTACACCAAGTGCTGCGGGAATTTAAGAGTGGAGGTCAAAGTGGGCTAGCAAGGTGAAAGGAAGCTTGCCTACCCTAGTGGGACCTCAGCTGAGTCTAAAGCAAGAGTGGGCTTAGAAAGAAATGTGTTGGAAGGCCTTGATGTCTAATATGGCCTGGCAGCTCTCTCCAAAGCTCAGCAACATGAGGGATTCCTTCCCCAGCGAGACTTCCTGCTCACTACCCGCTCTCTCTGGAGACTGTCTTTGGGCCTGGAGGGCTGACTTTACCTGAAAGCTGTCTAGAAGCCTCACTGCCTGATTTATCTCTAGCATTACCTTTGGCACAGGTTCCTGCTAGAAGCCTTCCCCGTACTGCTCTACGCACTGCATAGGGTAATTAAGACTTGTACTAGGGGCTTTGCTATGGGACCCTGCTGCCACATGTTAATCTTTTGATAGGAACGTGCCATTTAATGCAAATTAGAATTTCCCCTAGATTGCCCAATCCTACATATCTCCTATACTCTGGAATAGAGTTGATTTGATTCACTGAAGTCATATTCTAGAGGGCTTTCTCCATCACATCAACAGCCATCGGAACCCTGTTTCCCACTTCTGCTCCCTCCACCCTCATGGACCAATGAATCAAGGATCTGAAGAAAGAAGAACCAAAGAAACACAGAGGTCAGGACACGGGGTAAATGGTGATGTCAGCAAAAGAGATAAGGATGATTCGGGTTTTTAAGTTTGGGTGTGGTAATGGTAAGAGGAGAAAGGCTTGTCTGGAATGAGGCTGTGAAAGGCTTGTTCTAAGAAAGAGTTGGAGAGACAGCGCAAAGGTTGGCTGGCTCTTAAGTTCTTTGGTCTTTAAATGCTAGTGTTGTGACTTTAGACTTATGTTCTTTGAGTTTTGGGAAACTCTGAAGAAACTATGAAAAACTGGCTAGTTACTGAGGGAGTTGATGAGGCAGAATCTGAGGGGAGTTATAAAGGGGAGGCCTGGGAGGTAAAGAGGTCCCATTAACTAGGGTGAGAGTGTTCAGGCCAGTGTGCAGTGGGGAATGGAGCAATTGGAAGTCAAGCAGGATGCGAAGG